ATTGTTAGGGTTACTCGCCCTATGTCTAAAGTGCTGGAGTGGCTAGTTCTTGTTTCCACACTGTACGGGTGTTATTCTGTGTAGTCTTCCTGTGTATCATTTATCGTGTAGAGTGCAACAGGATGCTTAAGTATAATACTTCATAAACTTGTTGTTGAAGCTCTGATTTCACATTAAACATCAATATTAAGCTCTTCTCAAGATTGGTTGAAAATCAGTCATTTAATATTTACAATAGAATTCTTCCACCACATTAATATATGAGGGCAAATCAAAAAGTCTTTGGCTCTATTTTTTCTCGGCCACAATAATACACATGCAGGCGGTGTTCTAAGTACCTCTGACTATTTTTCCACATAGTCACCACCCCGNTGGCTGAAAAAAATAGGGGCAAAGACTTTTTGATTTGCCTTCATATTTTACTGTTTATTCATGATTTATTTAACAGTAATGTCAACAACCCATATCATATTATGTATAACAAATAAGATGATAATTAATTAACAATGAGTTCAAAAGGATGGAGAAGGAAGCAGTCTGGTCTAATCTGAAAATGATTCTGACATATGGCTAGAAGATTTTTCGCAAAATCATGAAGCCTATAAACAAGCTGCTCCCTAGGCCAAGATATGTTCCCAGAAGTCTCCAGAACATAAAGCAGGAGTGCTGTCAACTTGTGATTCATTTGATCATACTGAAATGTTCAAAATAAAGTCATTAATAATTTCTATTATGGAAGTGGATAATCCAGAATTCCTGGCTCACAAAGCTACTTCCAGTAGCCTTAAGTGCTGCTTTGAATTTTCATGATCATTGCTCTGTATGCAAAAATGATCAGCTATGGGATTCATAATGATAACAATATATTTCATTCATTCTCCATTTGCGGAAACACATATTTCTTCCTGTATTGTGATAACTTATTTTATTATCACTGAACACTTTTCTTTTAAGGGTAAACTTCCAAAAATATCAAAGGAGCTATGATCATCTGAAATCATCGAGTGTGTATCGTATGATTCATGAAACTGAAAAGAGATGCCCTGGTGCTTTCGAAGGACGGCCAGAGAAAATACTAGCATTGGAGGACTATAAACAAGTATTACAGGCAAGTAGCGAAGTGGAAGAATTCTGTGATACAAATTCATTATATGATTATAATATTGACAATAATTGGTATACCTTTCTCCATTGCCTTTCTAGATTGGTGAGAGCTAAATGATATATAAAAAGAGGACACATCTTATAATGCACAGGTAGGTACCAATAACAGAATTCTTTCAATGTTACATGTGCATGGTATGAAGTACACTGAAGAAAATAATAAGACATAAAAAGTAACATACCAAACCTTTTTGGCGGGGGATTCAATGAAAAAATTAAGCAAGTTGCTAGAGTTAAAAGCATTACATTTTGTACAATCCTATTCAGGGTTATTGAACACTCTGAAGGTCAATGTGCAAACATGAATTAGTGGCCTTACAGACTTTAAATGTACTACTTCTATTCAATTCAATAGACTGTTGCCAAATTTGAATGTTGATAGTTTTACTATAAGGACAAGAAGTAACAGAGACCAGAGATGAAGATGACTGCTCACTTTCAACTGATGCATGGTGCTTTACCTTCACACACCATATATGGCTTAAAGACGCAAGGTTTTGAGGCATACATATACACCATTCAGTTTGGGAATTATTAAAGGGTGTAAATTAAAAATACCTACATTAAAGAAGTGCAGTGCAATTTATAAAATTAAGAAAAATACTCATTGTAACAAGCACTCATAATCTGAAAATATTAAAACAACTTTGAGCTCCAAACTTCTGTCTATAATCATGTGTATTAGTGACTAAAAAGGGGGTTCAGATTGGTAATTGGATGTACTGACAACTTACAGGTTGTAACTACAAATAATTATGATACTCTAAGGATTACTGTAATTATAACACATAAATATTGTTTTCAATATCTGCTTACACTAGTCATTGCTAGGTAACAGATCTCAACAATGGCTATGCCTTTACAATGTCTTCACTGAATTACACACTCCAAATATTACACATAAAGTCTTCTCTTTGCAACTGCCTGTACTGAACTGAACTCTCCTGGACTGACTCCTCAAAGTCACACTGCGACTGATGGCCAGTCAGTAAGTCTTGGTGTCGAGCCCCTGGAATATCTGTTACTGTTTGATAGTTATGGTCTTCTTCTTCTTCTAGGGTGCCCTCCCTGATGAGAGGACGGGTCTGTCTTTTGTATATGCTGCTGGTTCTTGCCAGCACAGTCTTTCTCGGGTAAGAGTCCCTTGGGACTCGCGACCATACTTTATTGTCTGACTTGAGACTTCCCTTTTTGTCGCCTCCTACAACTTTTAGGGTCATGGTGGAGGTATTCGACCCCGCCTCCACATGGGTGTGACTCCTTAGTTATTCTGGAACCTCTTATAATTCTTCAACACAGATCACATAGAAAACTTTTCTATTCTTGTTACAATGCAATTGCCTAGCAAGGAGGTGTAACATTCACTATAACAATAGATTCCCTATTGTCATGTGCTTTAGGGCCTTGCATAGAAATGGCAGTTCTTCTAACGTTGCTTGTTGGATTGTGTTTTGGAGCTGCTACCTGGCAACGTTTTGATCCTATCCATTACAATATGTATCACTGCAATACGCCAAGTTTAATAGAAAATTCAAGTACAACAGTGATTGATATTTGTTTTATTCAATGACGATTCTCAGCAACCTAGATTATATACTGTTGAACTGGAAATTAAGCAGGTGTGACTTCCTTTACAATAACACGCCAGGGTTTACCTGCAGCTCTGCTGGAAAACCATGAAAAACCTGTTCGGATAGCCGATCTCCAGACAAAGATCTAAACCTGAGACCTCCTTAATATGAAGCAGGAGAGCTAACTACTGTTTATACTTTGTGAATTTCTTATTACAGAGTATGAAATTATAAGTTTAATTTTTCATTCTTGATGTCTAGTTATTGACAATTCGGCCGTGCCATAGCTGAAACGGTTAGTCACTGGCTTCCCAGTGTGGCGGCCCGGGTTCGATCCCAGGTCTGGTCAAGTGGGATTTGTGGTGGACAAAGTGGCGCTGGGGCAGATTTTCTCCAAGTACTTCCCCTGCCAGTCTTCATTCCACCAAATTCTCCATCATCATAATCACCCGAGGCAGGTACAATAGGCCAATCAGTGGCCGCCGTGCCAAGTGGACCCAGCTGGACTCCACCCCCCACTAAGCAAATTAAAAAAAAAATACTGACAATTCACAATCAAAATGGCTGAAAATAATCTTTCCTTATACTGTGTACTATTAGGTATAACAAAGATGAAATTTTATATGTATATATATGTGCAATAACATATAAATGGTGGAATGCTAGATGCTGAACTGGAGCTGGACAAGAGGGGAGGCTAAGGGGACGGTAGTCTTAGACTGTGAATTCAGAAGCAAAACCACAAGCACAGTTTCTTACAAAGACAAGGAAATTAATCACAGAAAGTTATAACTATTTCAATGTAATGAAGCTGCCAGAAAATGTCATCATTTAAAGTTATTTTCACATGTATGTACATTAAGCAAATGGGTGAGTTCCCCCCCCCCCTCCACTCACTGGAATAAAGTTCTTATTACAGGTTAGACTTCTATTGTGGTTACAGGGTATAATTAGTTCTGTGTAATTCTACACAGATGAATGAATCTTAATATAATATCATGATTAATAATTCTGCATTTTAAACAGAATTCCAGATTTCTCAACAACTTGAAGCAGAAGAAGAAGTTAGTATACAAATTATTAAGGAGTTTACTACGAACATATCTAAGTGCAGAAGGACACTGTGAAACAACTCCTGCAACATGGGATGTGTTACAAGTTGTCTCAATACTTAAAAATGTAAAATGTTCAATCTTTGATAGAGTAATATAATTTACTGCCTATGATAAAAGAAGCAGTATACTATGGAGGTTTTAACTCAGCTTTTCTTTCTAGCCAGTAACCCATGTGGAACCAAAAATAAAAACCAGTAATGTCTGTATAAAACAATCTTAATATTATTTTCTTTATAGCTCCCTTCCCCATTTTATAAATTTTAGATGCTCTATGGCTAATGTTGCAAATTAAATAATTTAATCATCACTGTTACGGTTGTTTAGAATTGTTCTGAAAGGTGTTTGTGAGCATCCCTTGTGGCTAATTCAGTAGTTTTCTTATTTTCTGTGAAATACACAATAAACACAGCATTTTGTTCTCTTTTCTTAACCCCAATTAAAATGCAGATGTTCCTTGCAAACAGATTTTCAAGGTATCAATAATGCAAATTTAACAATTTCATTGCTTTTTATTGTCAAGCTGGTGGGTAAAATAAATATTTTTGTTCTCTTCCATTTGTAACATATTTTAAGGACACCCTATGGTTAAATTATGTAAAGTATTCAATATATGTACTCTTCTATTGGGCTTATTTACAGCAAATGAGTCACTTTTAGTAGTACTTTATGAGATACAACTAAAATAGAATATCAGTGTATATGTTAAAGTCAGCTGTAGCCATGCTGGACAGTTCATTACAACATCTCCTGTTCACAATTTTATAAGAGTATGTGAAACTGACAATTTAAAAATGAAGATTGCTTTACATGAAGGTCAAGATACAAAATGCCGATGTTCTTGAAAACATTTTTAGTACAGTTCTACATAATACTGGATAAACTGAATGTATAAAAAATAAGATACTATGTCAAAGAGTTTTACTTTGTTTATGATGTGCACAGTAAATTGGTATCTGTCAACCCATTTATTTTTATGTTACTTGAAGTGTAGGACTGTGGCATCCGCTTATTAAAACTCAGGCATATTATACCTCTTACTAGGAGAGTTAGTGGCCTCCGTAGTCTAGAGGTAACGTTCCCACCTCATGACTCGTAGTACGCGGGTTCAAATACCCGGCGGAGGTCGTCGAATTTTTAAGGGCAGAAAAATTCAGGGAACAAGTCCTCCGGGAGGGACTTTAAGCTGTGTGTCCCGTGTCGTAACTTTACGGCACGTAAAAGAACCTCATATCCCCAAAGGGGATCACTGAGCCAAATTCCAGGACGTTTCCCGCCCAACAATAGTCTCTAAGGCCTCTGATAGATGGGGGAAGCATTATAGACACCGCTAAGCAAGTGGCCGAACTCGCTTGCTCGGCGGGACTGATGGTACGCACCATTTATCGGTAGGGTATAGAGACTGGTAGAATATCATAGAGGGAAGCACAATAGATCAAACTGGTTGCGGTGCATGGGGAAACCCACCCTCTCTAAATAACTAACTGACTAGGAGAGTTCAGGAAGGAAGAGGGTGTTACAATATTGCAGATATATTTAATATTGTCTTTTTAACTGTCTACTAGGGCTTACTCTGTAAATCTGTATTCAGTTCCAAGTAATTCACATATTTCAATTAGTTTACACCAGTGCACATCCTGGTGTGTTCAGCATATGAAAAAGCATAGATAAGTAAATTATGCTTCCTTTGAAAATCTGTTCTTAGTTGCCTCTGGGAGGGTTGAAAATGTTACTACTTATACACTTCTACAGAATGGTGTTAAGCACACTTTCCTCATCCCAACGAAAAATAAAGTTAGACATTTCTAACAATATGGATGATGAACCATTTTATGTTACATTTATAACTGAAAAATGAGAAACAAAATCATTGTTGACCACTGTAAGTCAGTCTTAAATATTAACTATATTGGTTTGATTTTTCATCACCTTTCCAATATTGTATGGTTTTCTACAATTACCTGGAGCACCAGCTTGAGTGGGGGCTACTGTATAGAGCACCAATAAAAATACCTCCCCCTCCTGAAGCTTTGTCCCGTTCATGCCCCCTCCTACATATTAATTTAGTCATTTTGTCAAATTGCAAAAGTTTGTGTTGGGTTTCTGTTATACCTTTCCCATAGGAAATCACTTGACTTTGCTAAAATAGACACATATTTGGAAGATAAGGTGAATGATCCTATTGCAGTGCTGGTGCTACTATGCTTTATCTGGATCTGTCTTTATGGGACATCATAGCATAAAAATCTGGTCGGTTTCTAATACTGCATTTCAACAGTTATGACATTTGTGCTTTTAACCTGAACTGGCAGGGTATTTGTAACTCATTTTTTATTTGGACACAAATTAGGCAAGTCATACTCATACTTCAGCATACTGCAGTTGGGTTGGGTGACTTGAGGTTGTTCCCCCTCTTGTGCACCAGAGATCTCTGCAGTCATGCATCTAGGAGCAGCTGAAAGGGTGGAAGATTCTTTTACATGCCATAAATGCATAGCATGGAACTCCCTGCTTTTCTTCCATTCCAAAGGAAGCAGTGAGAAAGATTTTTACTGACCTCAGCTGAGGTTTGATCCCACAAACCTTGAGTCCAATGGCCAACACGTAACCACTAGATCACCTAGGCAGATGCATAAAAATCTTATGACATGCAATATGAAGATTCTCCAAACTTTAATGTCACCCTTGCTTTCACATGGTACACCCAGTTATCAAACAGACTGGTCTGGAAACCTCATCTTATCTTTAGTTTCAAACCATTCATTTCTGGTTTATTTAACACTTTCAATACCTTACCTTATAGTGTCGAAAGATGAGATGATTAGTGAATGAATTTGAATGGATGTGGAAGCACGAGGTCATGGCCTAATTTGAGGTACCACTGTGGTGCTGCTACTGCCACTGACATCTTCATAACCACAACCAGAAGTATTACCCCTGCTCTTTATCCTACAACTATGTGGGTTGTAATGCCACTGACCCTCAAATTAAACTTGGCTCTGCTGTGTTTGTCACATGCTGGTAATTAGGTGTACATTGCATTGATTCACTCTGATGGTATGACAAGCCTAGGATTATATTAGTGTTCACTAGATTTCTCATGCCCCCAGTATTAGAGTATCAACTGTCTGGTCTCTTGACAGTCTCAACTGCCCACTTCAGTTTAGATGAAATCTGTAAACTTACTCATCAATTAATAAAAAGTCTGAGTTTTAGTTACATGTTCATCATACACTTTCATTCTTTAAAACTTACACACATAAAGAATTTATTGCAATGGGTATTAATAATAACTAATAAACAAAAAGTACATCAAAATATAAACAGAAAGCATTCCAATTAATTCTTGGTTCCATACTGGCTGAAAAGCTCAGACATATTGCAGCATATTTCCTCAAAGTAAGAACTGTGGAGGTACAGAAACAGCTGTTGCTAGGTAATGGCCCGTACACACAGTAGAGAAACCTATTATGTATGCTGTGATGTCATGCAACAACAGAAGAGCAAATGGCGTTCCCTGTGGGTCTGTGCCATGCTCATTGCTATGCAACTGTGTGGTAAACACAGCCCTACAGCAGTGAATCAACATGCAACGTCCCAAGGCTATATAACAAGGATCTCACAGAGCTAGAATTATAATTGAGTTGAGCGCTGGAGCTGGCAGTTGCAGCAGAGAATTGAGAGTTGGCAGTCGAAAGTGATTGAGACTAATGGCAAGAAAGGAATTAGGTTGTGCAAAGAAGACTTCGTGTTGATTTGAAGTTACAGTCAGACTGTTATCAATCTGTTGCTAGGAAACAACTAGTGGAGAGTGTAACAGACTGAGGACACTAGTGTGTGTGTAATGGTGAAGGGTAAAGTGTGGAAATAGTGATAGCGCTGTGATTGCCTGTAGTGCTGAGTTGTGTGTATAAGGTGTTAATAGTTTTCATTTTTCCTTTTTAATATTTTTAAGGATTGCATCCTGTTATGTATATACAATGAACACATATAATTTTTACCATAAATGCAACAATACTTTGTTATTTATTTATTTATTTATATAGCATGCACTACATGTTTCAACAGAACTTTGAATGACAGTTTTGATGTACATGTAAATTACAAAAGAACATTTAATATTCATACTGTAAGGAGTCCCTAAGATTTGCATGGAAAATGATTTGACTATGTAATTTGTCACTTTATGTGAGGACCTAAGTGGAACAGTACAGTAAGAACATAATCTTATAAGGTCATCTGTAGGTGTCTGATGCCTAAAGGCAAGGTTATACTAACTCACAGATAAGATCTGTATGATGTGACAGATTTTTCACAAGTCTTGAGTGTTCAGGTTTTAGTCCACGGATGGCGCTAGTGGTACACTATACATGTCTTCACAATTCTTTTTCCCCCATTTCTTTGCATTGGTGCTCATGCACTTGGTTTTGTTGGCTACGTTTGTAGCACAAATTTCTACCGCCTTTCTATCCTCGTTCAAAATATGTGCATGCTCTATCACAATTTTTATTTCATATTTTCTTGTTATATCCCACCAAATTACCATGGTCTTAGGTGATTAAATAGCTGTGTGAATTTGACAGGGGGTGTCCAATGACTGAGTTTAGCTATTTCTATGGAACCCAACTGAATAGGTGTCTTCCCCCCTCACCTGAGGACAGACACAGATCCTGTTTCCGAAATGTCTTGTTTTGTAGTCTCTAGAATGCTGGATGATGGAGAAAGTCCAAAAACCCAGTAATTCTGAAAATTAGGAGTCAAGATTTTTCATCAATCTGATGGTTTTGAATTGAATATTATTGGATATGATAATCCAAAATTCTGTAGATAAGTAACAGCTATAAATAACAATACTTGTTTATTCATTTACACCAATGTCAGTAGAATTCTTCCCATGCCTCACATGTGGAGGAATTTCACCTTCTAAACTTGCCATTAAAAAGTATCCACATACTCCTAACCTCATGCCAGCTAACAGAATTACTTCCTACTAATACACACATACACCAATGGAACATTTCAATTTTAAAACAGCAAGAGGTACAGTGAATTAAAAAAGTTGTTTATATGAACATAATGAAAAGCATACTTAAAATTAATTATACGTGAAATATTTGTTGACATAATGTAATATGTAGTCAATCTATAATTATATATGTTGGAAGTGCAATTTTTCATGAAAGTGAGTATTGGTGTAAACCAAGAGATGGCGCCGTAATTGGTGAGTGGGTGCACTGATGTGGGCATCCGGTGTGTGTGTAAGACAAAATGTACAGTAAGATGTAGTAAAGAGTAATATCCAAGTGAATCAGAGTTTTATTCAAAATAATCACCTCGAATCATCGATAGGTGTGAACAGTGAGATTGCGCATCTTTGTGCCCGGTGCCGACTGCGTGTTGAAGGTTTCCAAAATTAACTACAATATGGATGAAGAAAAATATTGCATACCGCTGTTTGACGGTAAGAACTATGATGACTGGAAATTTCGGATGAAAGTATTCTTGGACGAGAAGGATGTGTTAGTACACATGCAGGAATCATTGGGAGAGGTTATGCGACCACATGAGATACTAGAAACAGACACACCAGCAGTCAAGAGGACTAAGGAAGAGAAACTGAAGAAACTCGAAAAAGAGGACAAAAGATGAAAAAGTTATATTATACAGAGGATTCAAGATAATCAGTTAGAAATAGTGAAAGGCAAGTCCACAGCGAGAGTAGTGTGGAAGGCACTGGAGGACAGATTTTTGAAAGTGAGCGCAACAAGCAGAATAAATCTTGTCAAGAAACTACAATTGTGTATATATAATCCATTTCAAGAAAGGTTTGAAGATTTTTGTGTGAAGTTTGACAGAATTATTCGAGACTTCAGACAGGCAGGTGAGAGTCGTGATGATGAGAGTGTGGTCATACAATTTTTATTGTCCATGCCAACTGAGTATGGAAGTATAGTAACAGCCTTAAGAACTGTAGCCACATCTAAATTAACGCTTGAGGGGGTGCGCCAACATATTGAAGAATTTGAAGATGATAAAAAAAAAAGAAGAAGACAACTAATGTAACGTTAACTACTGCATTCACTGGGTATCAGCAAAGTCGGGG